AGGGAGAGAGAGCCCAAGGGGAAGGCCTCCGGCTGGGGAGGGCGATGAAATTCCACAAGGGGCTTTGGGCCGCAGAGCAAGGGAGGTGGGCTCACTTCGGCAGCAGACTCGGAAACCAAGGACCCCTCCCAGAATTTTCTCCTCAAGTGGGGAGGCTCCCAGGAAGCCGAGCCTTTCACTTACCGATCAGGACACAGAGCTCCTGCGGCAGCTTCCTCCCTCCCGTGGCCAAGACCTGTCTCCCGACGTCCTCGAAAATGACCGGCCGAGACTCCAGGTTCATCATCAGCATGGACCGCAACTGGGTCTTGGCCCGCTCCAGTTCAACCTAGAGGGGGAGGCAATGGAGCCACTCCAGCCTCTGAAAGAGGGCTCTGCTCCGAGCCCCAAGCCCCGACACAAACCCTCCTCCCCAACCTCTTACCTCTCCCAGGGTTCCAGCCATTAAAACGAATTCCCGGGTAATGATTTCCACCATTTCGCGGACCTGCAATCGGGGAGGAGATGCGGAGGAGCCGAGGGTGAGAACCGATTCCATCCAAGGCCTCTCCCTTCCTGAAGGGTGGAGAGCTTCGGGGGAGGCCTCTGGGGCGAGGGCTTCTGCTCGCCAGGCCAGGCGAGGGGGCACTGGGGACGGCTGCTCCCTCGCCTGCCGGCCTGGTAGATGTAGCCCAATCTCCAACTGTCTAAGAGAGGGCGTGCCTGGCAGGTGAGGAATCCATTCTGAGGACCAGCTCACCTGTCTGGGATCTGCACTGGCGTGGATGCACAGGAGGCCGGTGTCCTCGTAGCTGTGGTGGTAGGAGGTGGCGTTGTACATCCAGTGGTGCCTGGGAGAGAGCAGCAGAGAAGGGGACGGGTGAATATCAGTGGCCTTGTAGGGTTCCCTAAGAGCCTCTTGCAACTGTGGGTCCTCCTCAAGAGTCGGACCACATGTCCTATCGGCCCCAGCCACCGGTTGGCCCAGGGAAGGCTGCTGTGATGCAGAAAGAGAAGTATCGGCCAGTCGGATTCCTGAAGACTTCTGCCAGACTCGCAGATACGTTCGCAAGAGAAGCAAAGGCTGATTG